TTCTGAGATGCTTCCGTCTTTATTCAGGGTGCCATCGATATTATAGAGCGGAATGGGCTCCTTCAGCCTCCGCGTCTGCACCTTATTCTCTACGATAAATCGCTTGTTGATAAACTTTGTGGTGGCTCCGCTGTCCACCATAGCGATTACGTCCTTGTGCCGTCTTTTCCCTTGGAGTCGGACTGGAATGTGAAAGTGCTGGGACCCCTGGTCCAACTCATACACCATTGCAGTCGACAATACATTATATCTATTACATGATGATACTCGCGGCCCGACGCGTGCGGCACGAAGCGCGGACCGGATCAAAAACCCTCCTCCTTCATCGCCCGATAGTGTTCGAGCTCCTCACGCATCGACTTCACCTGTGCCATCAAGTCCGCCAGCTCCGATGGCTCGGATTTCGCTGAAGCGGCACTTATTGTTGCCGAGGGTGATGTCGTGATGGGGGTGCTTGTCGCGGCCTGGGTGGATCCCGAGGCAACCGTAGCCCGTGTGTCGGCGCGTTTTGTGTAAGGCTTGTCCTTACAGTTGGGGCACTCGAAGCGTCGGTACCCTTGCTTCCCGCAGCTGAAGCAGCTGCCAGGGAAGTCTCCTTTTCCGACGGCCGCATTGATGCTGGCCGAAGCTCCTTGCGATCGGGGTGCACCACCATGTGCTCCACCGCATCTCCGTCCTCGAGCCGAGAAGAAGTTGTTCAATTCGGGCCGTCGGGCCTGGCTGATGTCGAGGATCTGCTCGACCTCGGTGGCGCGCGTGTCGGCTTCTCGCCACGTGGCGAACGTCTCGAGCTCGATCTTCCGGTAGACCCGGGAGGGGATGCCGCTCAGGTACTTGTCGCGGAGCTCCAGGTCACCATACCCGGAGCGGTCTGCCGGACCCTTGAACAGCGCAGAGAATTTGGCGGCGGTGCGCTTCTTGTGCATGGTTTTGTCAGCGCAGAGCTTGGTGAGCTCTACTTGTGCGGCGGCGGCGTCGTCAAGATTGCCAAAGCGGGCCTTGAATGCCGTAAGGAAGGCTGCTTCATTGGCGAAGGGGGTTGTCACTCCCTGGACCCCAATCTGGACGGCGGCAAGCTGGGAGAAGATGGGGGTGGCCCAGGTTCGCGCATCACCATCGAGGAGACTGAGGGCAACCTGGATTTTCAGCTCGATGGAAGAGAGGGCTGTGTTGATCGCCCAGTAGATGAGCAACTGCGAGATGAAGCGGTTGCATTCGACCACCGACTTCCCATCATATCGGAGCGGGAGGAGGAGCTTCAATGTCTCCTTATTAGGAGGGGATGCTGGCGACGACATTACCGGCGACGAGGGGGACGGAGGACTGCCCGCGGGCGAAGACGACTGCTGTGACTGTCCGCCGGGCGAACTTCGCGAGGAACGAGTGCTTGGGCGGCCTCGCGGCGGCGATGGCGGTGGAGACGATTGAGGAAGCCCGGAGGCGGGGTGACATAGGACAGGGGCTGAAGTCGAGGCGGTGACCGCTGACGACGAGCCGGCCCAAGAATGCGGTGGAGTGTCACGGGGCTCGGACTTGGGAGGCCCTTCCAACCGCGGCCCCAAGGAGGGCTGGGGGATCGCTTGAGGGGTCACTGTAGGCTGTGCGACTGCCTCAATTCCTCGAGGTAGATTGGGATCTCCTCGTGCTTGACCTGTACTGGCGACAGGTTGGGGGATGCGGGTGCCTGGGGAGGCGGGTCGAGATGGGACAGGAGTGACGTGGCGAGATGTGGATCGCGAAGTACCAGCGTACCGGAGTGCTGGGCCGCTGGGGTGCTGGACTCGTCGGATTGGTACGTAGCGCCCTTCGTTGGCAGTGATGGACCGTGGAGTACGATTAGGGCACGGTTGCCGATCACAGATGAAGAAAGGGGCTAGGTTTCCGTTGCTTTCTGGGTCGTCGCGAGAGACGTCGACCTGCTCCTGGGTGTCGAAGGCGTGCTCAAGTCGAGAGCAGTCGAAGAATTCGTCAGCCACGGTGATGGGGGGAGGAAGGGGAGGTGCGCGTGCTATGAAAGGCCGTGCTAGCTAGCTTACACCTACGGCGCCCGAGAAGACACTAAGGTTCGCAGTTCACGTGGGGCCCAGTACTGCTTTTGGCTAGTATGCAGCAGGAACCTAAGCCACGCGTCCGTGAGGACAAGTATCGCCCACTGAAGTGCAGATACCGAAGAGTTCGTCCCTTAAGTGGTGGCGATGTATTGTAGGCTATCTAAGTATAGTAAGGGTGTGCACCACCCGACCTGTAGGAAATGAATGTGGGAGTTCCGAGGAACGCCGGCAGCTTGTGGAGTTTCGACCTAATGTCGCGACTTGGGGTCAAGCGACAGGGGAGAGTCTGAGAGCTGGGGGCATTCAACTGATCTCACTGAAGCGATGGTGAGCTACGCTCAAACCTAGGGACAAGTAAGTTAGTATTGAATAAGTAAGTATGTACAGGGGCTTACTGACCTAGGGACAAGAGGTTGAAACTGAGGTCCCTAGGGCAGCAGAGGCAGGCTTATATACAGGGGAAGTTTAGGGGAGGCTGTGCGCACTGGTCCGTGCACAGCTGGTCTGTGCGCAGCATGCTGACACGGCCCTAGGGGCCGATGAGTCAGAGAGGCTGTGTCAGTGGAGCCCGAGCTGTGCCGCGCACTGCCGCCCATCTAATCTAATCGTACAGTAGATAGCGACACGTCCAAATCAGGCATGTAGTACAGAGGTCGCGGGTTTGAGCCCGCGAAAAGGAAAAAATTAAAAAACGGCTAGACGCCGTACCAACTCGTGACAGTTGGATTGGCTGCGAGAGCACAACCCTGAGATCGATTGGGAGTCGGGCTCCCTAAAATTATCGTGATGTCCTGAAACATGCAGTGCCAGGAAGACTGGCCAAATGGAGCAAGCAGCGGCTGCGCGTGATACGGGGGTCAGGCCCACGGCGTGCAGGCGTTCGCCGAAATCCAAACGGTTGGTCATAGGCGCCTGCTGGTGTAAGGTGCTCCCGGACTTCGAACCCGAAGAAGAGCTGGTGGAAGTAGAGTGGGATGAAGCCAACCTGATCGAAGCATGGGAGCAAGGTATCACGCTGCCTGGCGCCCCTCAGTTGTTCGTCGCAGCCGGGCATACATACTCCCAGTTGTTTGCCGAGGAAGAGATCAAGAAGAAGGTCGTTAAGACCGCCGAGAAGTCGGTGCCCAAACAGTACCACGAGTTTCTAAAGGTCTTCTCGAAGGAAGCATCAGAACGGCTACCTGACAGGAAGCCGTATGATCATGCGATCGAACTCGTACCCGGCTACTCGACGTTCCACTCAAAGGTGTATCCACTGTCAAACAATGAGCAGGAGGAACTCGATAAGTTCCTAAAGGAGCAGTTAGCGAAGGGCTACATACAGGAATCGAAGTCACCCATTTCGTCCCCCTTCTTCTTCATCAAAAAGAAGGAGGGGACACTTCGACCCGTGCAGGACTACCGCCAGTTGAACGCGATCACTGTTAAGAATCGCTACCCCTTGCCGCTGATCGCCGAGATGGTGGATAAGCTCCGAGGCGCTATGCTCTTTACGAAATTCGATGTCCGATGGGGATACAACAATGTCCGGATCAAAGCCGGTGACGAATGGAAGGCCGCCTTCGTGACTAACCGAGGGCTGTATGAACCCTTGGTAATGTTCTTTGGCCTCACCAACTCCCCCGCGACCTTCCAGGTGATGATGAATGACATCTTCCATGATCTCATCATCGGCGGAAAGGTCCTCGTGTACCTGGATGACATACTCATCTTCTCCACCAATCCGGAGGAGCATGATAAGGTCACGCTGTCACAGGCCAAAAGTGTTTGGCATGTGAACATGGTGAACAGTTTGAACATCATACCACTGAAAGAACACCTAAGTTGAATAGGCAAGGCAAAGTCTAGCAGATTGTGAGAAGAAACAGACTAAACAAGGAAAGCTGATCAACTAAAAAGGAAAGCGGAGCGTGGGAAATTGCCATCTTAGGCAACTTTGATCAGGTGACTTTCCTAATGGGAACAGAAGCCCAGAATCAGGTCCTAGGCCAGTACAGAATCCAGCTAGGCCAGCTGTGAGCCAGTCTAGTGGTAATCCAGGCGAGGTGTAGGCCGAACCAGTCAGTAACTAGGCCAGGTGTGGGCCAAACCTAGAAAAACCCAGGTCAAGTGCAGGCCAATCCAGTAACACCTAGGCCCAGCCTAGGCCAATCCGGCAAATGCCCAGTTTCAACCCAGAATGAGAGAGAAATGCTATTGGCTCATAAAGCCTGCCTTACCAAGCGAGCATGAATTGCTATTGGAGGAGAGAATCTGCTTATGAAATAGTGAGGAGTGGTGAATGAATAAGGCAGAATCAAATGCTTAGTCAGCGGGCCTCCAGAGTAGTATATAAGGACCCAGATTTTGTACAGTACAGACATTGACCCACTTGAGGGAATAGACATATTCTTCCTCTAAAGTCAGTCCACTGTGTGTAAACCAGTGTAAGCTGCTATTGACACTGTAAGCTTGCTTGAAGTAAGGCTTGTCTTCACTGTCTTTGGCTCTGTCTTCGCTGTTGGCAACGTTGTCAACATCATCGCTTGTCATTGCTCGTACTCACTCGTACTCGCTCGTCATCGCTCGTATTCACTCGTCTAGTTACACCAAGTCGTTTGGTGCTTATCTGCAGTGTCGAGGGCATACAGCTTGCCCAAAACAAACTGTAGATTGACTCTAAGGTGCTTGCTTATCTGAAGCTTGCCTTTTGTTGTCATAGTTCGACCTTTGTTCAAGTGGAACCCTGGTCTAAGTCACGCTCGTCACGTATCGCCCAGTTATCAGCAGTCTGTTGCTCAAGCGGAGCTATAGTCTGTTGAATCAAGCTAGTCAAGTCACGCCAAGTCACGTATAAGCCAGTCAATCCACGTATAAGCCAGTCAAGTCACGTATAAGCCAGTCACGTCAAGCACACACCAGTCAAGCATCCAAGTCACCCACACTCATAAAAGTCAACGTTAAGCCTCTGAAGTTGTTGAAAGTGGTGGTTTATTTGTTGGTTGTTATCAGTCCTTGAGTGGTCATTGGTCAATCACTTTCTTCCCTCAAACCGAACAACCGTGATAGCCTGATACTGTTGACGTATCCGGTGAACCGCGGCAGAACACTTTCTGACCTGACAACGCGCGAGGTCTTTCAACGCCTACAGGATAATGATCTATTCCTGAAGCCTGAGAAGTGCGAGTGGAACGTTCCCAAGGTCGACTACGTCGGCTATGTGTTCGGTGGCGATGAGGTAGTGATGGATCCCGCGAAGTTGAAAGGAATCAATGAGTGGCCGGTACCCCGGAACAAAAAAGATGTTCAGAAGTTCCGGGGGTTTTCCAACTTCTACCGCTGCTTCATCAAAGACTTCGCTAAGATCTCGCGACCACTCGACCGGCTCACAGGGAACGACCCATGGCATTGGGGCAAAGAGGAGCAACACGCCTTCGATGAGCTCAAGCGGCTCTTTGCAACGACTCCAGTCTTGGCGCTATACGACCCTAACCGGGAGACGCGCATCGAAGTCGATGCCTCAGGGTACGCCACCGGTGGCGTGTTGATGCAGAAGCAGGACGACGGTAAATGGCATCCGGTTGCCTTCTGGTCCCATGCGATGGATCCGGCGCAGCGAAACTACGAGATCTACGATAAGGAGATGCTCGCGATCATCGAGGCACTAGATGACTGGCACCACTATCTCGAGGGGCTACCCAATCAGTTCGAGATCGTAACCGACCACAAGAACCTTGAGTACTGGCGTACATCTCAGCATCTCACGCGTCGTCAAGCGCGATGGTCACTGTTCCTGGCTCGCTTCGACTTCCGCATCACGCATAAGGCTGGAACGTCGAATGGAAAGGCTGATGCCCTGTCACGCCGATCAGATCATCAGGTCGGCGATGAGGA